AGCTGCCGCCCCCCCGGGGTCCCCCCCCCCCCCCCCAAGAAACCAGTGCGTGCCCCGCGTGCGCTTGTCCCGGCGCCAACCCCCCTGCGTGCCTCCCGCGGAGCTGATGCACCCATCCTGTGCAAAGCAGCTAGTGCACTTCTGGAATCACCGGAAGTGGCGCTAAGCTGCGGGACTTCTGTCCATCCCCGGGAAGCCTACACTACCTCCATTTTCACTTGAGGTAAGTAGTGGGGCTTCTCAGGGGTGGGAGGGAAATGGGGGCGGGGCAGACAGGACGCCTCGCGAGCGACTGGTCGAGGCCTCGCGAGCGACCAGTAGATCGCGATCGACCTGTTGGTGACCACAGGGTTAGAGAGACCTTTTACCCAGAGGGGAAGATTTTTCCTAGTGCTGTGTCACCAAGGCTATATCTACACTGCAGGGTTTTGTCAGAAAAAGATACGCAAATTACAAACTGCAATTTGTGTATCTTTTTACGCTTGTTTTTTCGGAAGAGGCTTTTCCGACATTTGGCCTGTCTACACGGGGCCAAGTGTCAGAAAAACCTCCTCTTTTGGAAGATCCCTTATTCCTCAGACAATAAAGAAATACAGGGATGTTGAAAGAATGCACCTGCTTTTTCAGAAACTGTTCTGAAAAAGTGGATGTGTTCCCTGGGTGCCGCAGAGTTTTTCTGGGATACTCTGGTATTCCGGAAAAACCCTCAGTCTAGACATAGCCTTAGTGGTTAGTTTAGTCTCTGAAGCATAGGGATTTATATTCCCACGTTATGGAACTATGAATTTTCCTATTGTCCATGGACCAGGGATGTAAGAGTCTAGCCAGTGAACTGAAAAGCGTGATCTCATTGGTTCCAGTTGCAGTTAAACTCTTCTGCCCTGCCGGCACGTGTGAGCTCCTGACAGGTGGCCCCACACCCAGGAGCCAGGTGCCTCACTGTGCTGTGGGCTCGGCCGTATAAGCCAAGCCCCCAGTGCTTGTCACTGCGAGGGTTTTTAGTGATTACATGGTTACTTTTTAAAACCATTTTTTACATCCCTAGTTTAGACAAACGCCTGTCAGGGATGGTCTAGATGGTGCTTGGTCCTGCCGTGAGGGCAGGAGACTGGACTCTATGACCTTTCGAGGTCCCTTCCAGTTCTGTGATTTTGGGTTTTGGCTTAGTTTTCCTTTTTTGCACTGCAATGGCCACGTCTACTAACCCAAGAGCTTACTGTAAATATTACAAAGGAGAGGTTTCAACATGACTAAGACCATGGACTCTTAACAAAAGCTAAATATGTAACAGATGCATATTAAAAGGGAGCATGACTGCTGACAGAGCTTTCATGTCCGAAAACTAAGGCCCAAAACAAGCATCACTGTTGTATCAAAGAAGCACATGTGCTTCCTCATCTAATGTCCCTTGACCCACTTCAGGATCAGTCTCCCTGAAAAAGGTAAGAGAGCCCTACGGGGACTTGTCAGATCTTGTGGTAGGCATCTCAGAAGTTTACTATCTGCAAATCTCCTTTCACTACATTGTTCCTTTTGTGCACAGACTATCGTGATCTTTGGCTTTTTCTTTTTGACAGACTTTCCAACCCTGTAGTTACATGCAGCTGTCACTGTCCTATGACACATGTAGGTGTGTGTGTGTGGTGTGAGAGAAAAAGAGAGAAAACAAGGTATTGGCCAGATAAATTTTGCAGCTGCCTGTCTCTGCTTCAGAGAGAACATGGTCTGCAGGAATCAGGAAATCTTCTAATCCTAGCTCTTCCACTGACCTTGAACAAAGTCAAAGCTCTTTGTGCCTCAGTTTCCTTAGCGGTGGAAAGGGCCAATGACACTGACCTTTCTTGTCAAGCACTGTGAGATCGAAGGATGGAAAATCCAAGTATTAGGAGTAACAAACACAGTCACAGTAGCACTTTGAAAGTACCTGACTCTATATATGTATAGAAATGAGCAAATAAATCCCAATCAGGAGGCCACCAATAGTTTATTTCAGCAGTCTCACTGTCCTTGTCTCTGCCCCTCTAGGTACAGCACAAACGAAGGGGAGACCTGGAAAACATTCACTTTCTCAGAAAAGCCGGTGTTTGTGTATGGACTTCTCACTGAGCCAGGAGAGAAGAGCACCGTATTTACCATCTTTGGCTCCTATAAGGAGAACGGCCACAGCTGGCTGATACTGCAGATAAACACCACTGACGCACTTGGTAAGGGCACCAGTGTATGCATGAGCCATTGAGTTTTGCACACACAGCATCTGTTTACCCAATCCCTTCTCAAACACAGGGGTGGCTATTCACTGAAAAGCAGTAGATCCTCACAACTTCCCCCATTGGACATTCTTTCGGGAACAAGCAGGGCCTTTAGAAAGTTCATGGACTGATGTACTCTCATCACCTATCTTCAGAGAGGGAGAAAGAGGAAGCCTAGTCATCTGAATTGGCTGATAACATTTTCAAAAACACCTGACTTAGGAGCCTAAGTCCCATTTTCAGAAGTGACATAGGAGCCCAAGTCTCATTGAAAGGCACGTTAGCTCTTCAACGGGGCTCTGCAGAGTCCAGGCACTCCACCCACGTGGTCCTTTTCACAGGCCCAGAGCCTAAGGGTGCATTTAGACTGGCCTGTCTAAACTGGCTGCGAGTATTTGCGCAAGAACACTGACGTTGTAATGTACAAAATCAGTGGTTCTTGCGCAAATACTCTGACGCTCCCACTCAGGGAGCCCTCTTGCGCAAGAGGCCAGCGTAGACTGGCAATGTTAATTTCTTGCGCAAGAAAGCCCGATGGCTAAAATGGCCATTGGAGCTTTCTTGCGCAAGAGAGCGTCTACACTGGCACAGATGCTTTTGCGCAAAAGCAAATCTTTTGCGCAAAGGCGCATGTCAGTATAGACGCTCTTTTGCGCAAATACTTTTAATGGAAAAACTTTTCCTTTAAAAGTATTTGTGCAAAATCATGCCAGTCTAGACGCAGCCTAACTATATCTACACTACAATAAAAAGCCCCTGGCACCACCTGCAGGACTAAAAATATGCTGACATTTGTCCCCTCCCCACTTTGTGGGGTCTCATATTCCAGACTGCAGCCTGAGCCCAAAAGTCTGCAAGGAAGTTTTATAGTCCCATGAGTCCTAGCTCAGCCCTGCTATGACCCATGCCACAGGTCTTTCATTGCAGTATAGATGAATGCTAAGATGAACCCCAGCCTTCAGATGATGGGAAATTTGGTGATACTGTGTCCCTGCAATGGGGTCAACTCACTGCTGCAGCACCTCCTGCTGGTCATGCCAGGAATTAACTCTATCAACCCACAGCACCCTCTGCTAGCGATGTCTCATCACCATCACTTCCCTTCTGCTCCCTGGCTGGACCCATGTCAGTCCTGATCCAGAACGTGTCTGCCTTGTGGCACAGCCCTACTGCCCCTCCCCCCTGCCAGGGGAGCAGCAACCCGCTATCTTGTCTCTCACCTTAGGGGCCCAGTGCAGTCCTCAGTCTAGTCTCTCACTCCAGAGGCAAACTACAGTCTAATCTGGCCACCTTCATCATTGGCAAGTGTAGGCGAAGAAGGGGGAAGCCAGCCCCACACACTACCTGGGCCCCAACCCAGGGATCCTGTAGCAGCAGCCTCTCACTGCCCCTCCTTCACTCCTAACATCCCCTGCTTCCCTGGGCCACTTTCCCACAGCCCCAGCACCTTTGGCTTCCTCCCAGAGCCTGTCAGACACAGCAAGGCCATTCCTAGTGCTAGCGCTACAGTCACTAGAAAACCAGCCTCCCCCTGAGACTTCTTGCAGCAGACTCTCCCTTTCCCTGGTCTGCAGCTGCCCTCTTATCAGGCTCAGCTGTGCCCTAATTATCCACAGCCACACCTGTGGCTGCCTGACACCCAGCCTCCCTAGACTGGTTTTAACCCTTGCAGGGCCAGTGCAGGGCAGAGACCCCATGCAATTCCAGTGTCAGGTTCTATGTCCCTCGATGCCCATTCAGTTTCCAGTTTGAAATGGCAGGCAAGGATATTTGCACGTTTCCTCTTTAGCTAAAATCTCCTCTTCGGTAATTGAAGGATTTGTAAAAAAGGGAAAACAACAACAACAACCCCCCCCAACAACCCACTTCCGAAAGCCGTGCTGATGAATGATTTATAACCAATTTCAGCTTTGACTGCACCACAGCCTTTTAATCAAAGAACAGTTAAACGTGGCAGAAGAATTTTGCCTGACTAAAATTTATAACCGATTCCCTTGATGTTTTGTTGTAAATGGATCTGTTTGGTAATCGGACTGACTTCAGTTAGGTAGGTCGTCACAAATGCAGTGTCATTGCTTTGGAGTCATTCATTCCCTTCGGAGCCACCGAACATCCCTCAGCTCTTGAGTTGGAATTGTCTCTTTTTCTACTTGTTTTGGGCATGTGGGCCCAACTCCATTGATTTCTATGGAGCAGCTCCTGATCCCTCCGCTGTGAACGACAGGGGAAATGGCTCCACAAAAGGATTTCAGCCACTACCAACTTTGTCCTGAACTGAGCAGTTAATCTGAAGGAAGTGGAAAGGTTGCACTAGCAAGACTTTGAGCCATCCAATTCCCCTGTTAAACCCAAGGCACCAAAGGTATCACGATGCAACTTTTCCCTCACAGCCCCAAGAACTGCAAACTGTGTTTGGGGAACTCAGAGTATGGTGGAGAGGAACCCCCCTGCACACTGCAGAGTGCCGCCAGAGCACTCAGACCTGGAAATCACCTCCTAATCCCTGCACGCCCGCTCTGTAGAGTGAAGGCTCCGAAAAATCCATGTAGCAATAGATCTTCTGGTCCATAAATCCATGCTAGGCGGATGGACCAGTGCACAAGGGGTGCTAATGCCTGCATGGGCTCCTGGGAGGCCCTTATGTTGTGAAACCAGCACCTCCGAGAGAGGGGAGGAAATGTGGGAGTCAGAAACGTTAGCCTGAGGTGCTGTTCTTGGCATAGGAGGTGCAGGGAATGTGCATGCTCATCTACTATATCTTTGAGAGAATTTGTTTTTGTCTCTGTCTGTTCAAGAATTCCTCCTATATGGTACGAGCCAGGACCACCAAATTTTGTGTGCAGCTTCCTCTTCTCATAACTTAAAGCAAGGTTAGGGTTTGGTTGTGCCAGGGAGCTGTGATATGCTTAGAATGGGATTGCGTCACAGAAAACCACACAGAAAGGAGACAATCACCAGGCAGCTGAAAGGGACTGTCTGGGGGTGCCTGTCCATCCCCATCTGGAATTGCCCTGGGCTTGAGCCTCCCACCCTCCAGGCTGAAGTTCCCCCCTGATTTGTACGGGAACATTGCTGGCTGTTCCCCTTCATCAGGGAGTGAGGGGAAAGTGCAGAGTTTGCTACATTCCTCACGCTGGCTGGGGAGCACAAGGGGCAGATAAACCTGGACCTGCCCCAGGTAGGGGACATGCGCTTCTCCCCCAGCTGTGCCCAGTGGAGCTGAAGTGGCCATGGAGAGGTGCTTCTCACCTGGCCCCAAGCTGCTGCAGTGAGAGGGCTGGGATAGTCTGCTCTCCCTGGGGCAGCCTGCACACTGAGCCCCTCATCCCCAGCCCCACCCCTGAGCAATGGAAGTACAGAGCATGTACATTGTCATTGTATTTTCTAAAGATACAAACATTAATTAAGGACCTGAGCAATGCTGGGTAAATCTTCTGATATAACTGAGGCTCCTGAAAAGTACTAAGCCTGACACTCCAGAACGTTGAACCTCCTGTGGGTGTTGCCAGCGGTGAAAAAAGCAGGGTGCTAGTAGGTCACCTGGTTTCCTGGGTTAGCATCTTCAGCCCCCCAGCATCTGGCACCCACATTGCACTGGGGTGAAGGACAACTCAGGGCAAAGGACAGAGGAAAATCAGGCCCACTCTTTCTAAATCTTGAGTCTTGGGTATGTGGGTCATGATAATTTTTTTTTAACTCAAGCATGTCATTTATTATAGGCGTCCCTTGCACAGAAAATGATTACAAACTGTGGTCACCCTCCGATGAGCGAGGGAATGAGTGCTTACTGGGGCATAAGACAGTTTTCAAACGGAGAACGCCTCATGCGACTTGCTTCAATGGGGAAGATTTTGATAGACCAGTTATGGTCTCCAATTGCTCATGTACAAGAGAAGACTTTGAATGGCAAGTACCAATTATTTCCCTTTAGTCTGTTGTATTATTCAGTTATAAATATCAGTAACTAACAACAGTGAGCAAACCAACAGTTCCCATTTATTTAACTCTTTGTATCTTTGGACTGATTTTATAGCACCGAGGAGACTAAGACTGAAAGCACCCTTTCACTAATAGGGAGTAAGAGGCTTAATTAAAGTCCTTAAAATGGCTGAGGATAATGGTTCAGGAGAACTATTGTAGAAAAGCTAGTGATGTGATTGGCACTGCTATGTGATTTTATTTTTAATTTACACTTCAGTGAAACTAAACAGCTGTCAAGATAAGAGAGCTTTGCTTTGACAATTACCTGCAATGGTTATTAGTTAATGTGTAAATTGGTGGCCAAGGACCCCATTTTTACAGAGAGTTCTGCTCCCTTTTGGGTATCTAAATAAGGAATAATGAGGAATTTGGTTAGAAGGGTCAGACTGGATGCAATGATTGTGGAATTGGTTTCCAGTTTTGCAATTAACTCACTGTGTAAGCTGGGCAGATCACTTGACCAGTCTGTGCCTTGGTTTACTTTTTTCTCACCCATTGCAAAAAAGGTACATGTTATTTCAGTAGAATTTTGGAGTTACAAACCCCTTGGGAATGGAGGTAGTTCGTAATTCTGAAATGTTCCTAACTCTGAATGAAACTTTATGGTTCTTTCAGAAGTTTACAACTGAACATGTACTTATTGCAGCTTTGAAATTTCACTATGCAGAAGACAAATGCTGCTTTCTCTTTCTCTTTCTCTTTGAGGAGTTTATGTTAACACACTTGTGTACTGTATTTGCTTTCTTTGGAGGAGGAGTGGTGTCCCAGCTGCTGCCTAAGCGTATTTCCAGTTCCAAATGAGGAGTGTGGTTGTCTGGTCAGTTCCTAACTCTGGTTTTGTAAATCTGAGATTCTACTGCATTCCCATTTTATAGATGGGAAACCAAGGCACAGGGATTTGCTCATGGTCACCCAATAGTCCTGTGGCAGAATTGGGCATGGAATATAGGTCACTGGAGTCCCAGCCCCATGGTACCACTCATGCTCTAATGTACTTGGTGATTGTGAGGCTTAATTTAATGCATGTAAAATGTTTGGAGGTGCTGGTTATAAACTGCTGTCTGACTAAAGAACATTGTTATTAATCTGAACGTTACCACTAATAAATGAATGGTTTTCTCAAACATTTGTGTTTCTAACTCTCTGGTGCGAAGAATGCATGGAAGTAGCAATATAACATTTCCTCCCCTACTTCTCTCCTCAGTGATTTTGGTTTTAAACTGAGTGATGATTTATCATTAGAAGTTTGTGTCCCTGATCCTGAATTTGCTGGGAAACCATATTCTCCACCTGTGCCTTGCCCCGTTGGCTCAACTTACAGGAAGACTAGAGGGTATGTATTGTCCATGGTCAAGAAACTTGACTTTTCAGATTATTACTATGTACAGGTTGAACCTCTCTAGTCCAGCACACTAAGGACCTGGCTGGTGGTAAACTAGAGAATTTGCCGACCTATGGGAGGTCAGTATTGTCCAGCAGCATTACCAGCACTTGCACTGCTTATTGGGCTCTTCGAGGATATTTAGAGGTAAATTAGAGCTAAATAACAGCACAGAACACTGAGAACCAGGACTGGTGGCTGTAAACAAACTTGGCCACACCCATGCTAAGTGGGCATCCAGCTCACTAAAATCATGCTGGACCACAGATGTTGCCAGACCAGAGAGTACCAGGTTAGTGAGGTTCAACCTGTATTTGAATTACTGTAGCTCCTTGGACCCCCAAGTGAGACCCCTTATTGTGCTAGATGCTGTACAAATTCAGAACAAAAAGAGGGTTCCTACTCTAAGGAGTATACAGTCCAAGTTTGTGAGTAGTGTTAAAAGAAGGATCAGATTAATAAGTAATTATAGAATCATAGAATCCTAGGGCGGTAGAGACCTCAGGAGGTCATCAAGTCCAGCCCCCTGCCCAAGGCAGGACCAATCCCAACTAAATCACCCCGGCCAGGGCTTTGTCAAGCCGAGACTTAAACACCTCTAGGGATGGAGATTCCATCACCTCCCTAGGTAACCCAGCCCAGTGCTTCACCACCCTCCTGGTGAAATAGTTTTTCCTAATATCCAACCTAGATCTCCCCCACTGTAATTTGAGATCATTGCTCCTTGTTCTGCCATCTGTTACTCCTGAGAACAGCCTCTCTCCATAGAGTCATAGAATACTAGGACTGGAAGGGACCTCGAGAGGTCATCGAGTCCAGTCCCCTGCCCTCATGGCAGGACCAAGTAGTGTCTAGAACATCCCTGATAGACATTTATCTCACCTACTCTTAAATATCTCCAGAGATGGGGATTCCACAACCTCCCTGGGCAATTTATTCCAGTGTTCTTTGAAACCTCCCTTCCGGAAGTTGAAGGCTGCTATCAAATCCCCCCTCACTCTTCTCTTCTGCAGACTAAATAAACCCAAATCCCTCAGCCTCTCCTCGTAGGTCATGTGCTCCAGCCCCCTAATCATTTTGGTTGCCTTCCACTGGATCCTCTCCAATGCGTTCACATCCTTTCTGTAGTGGGGAACCCAGAACTGGACGCAATACTCCAGATTTGGCTTCAGTAGTGCCGAATAAAGGGGAAAATCACTTCTCTAGATCTGCAGGCAATGCTCCTTCTAATGCACCTAATATGCCATTAGCCTTCTTGGCTATAAGGGCACCCTGTTGACTCATATCCAGCTTCTCATCCACTGAAATCCCCATGTCCTTTGCATTCTCCTTTATAGGGAATGCATCCATGGAGTACACAGTAGAACATGATTTCACAACCTTAATTCCTACACATGAGAGAATGCTGTTTTTTTTGGATATGTCTACACTTGCACCCTCTTTTGAGAGAGGGATGCAAATGAAGACATTTGAAATTGCAAATGAAGCTGGGATTTAAATATCCCACTCTTCATTTGCATATTTGTGTTATGGTGCTATTTCGAAATAGAGCTATTTCAAAATAACAGATGCTGTTAAGATGCAATTATTTCGAGAGAAAATCCTTCCCCCAAAATAACTGGTAAACCTCATTGTATGAGGAATAAGGGTTATTTTGAGAGAAGGGTTTTCTCTCGAAATAACCGCGTCTTAAAAGTGTCTGTTATTTTGAAATATCACTATTTTGAAATAGCGCCATAACACGAATATGCAAATGAAACATGGGATATTTAAATCCCGGCTTCATTTGCAATTTTGAATGTTAGCATTTGCATCCCTCTCTCAAAAGAGGGTGGAAGTGTAGCCATACCCTTCCCTTAAGAAATTCATGTTTGTATATATTTATATATTCCAGCTACCGCAAGATCTCTGGGGACACCTGTGCAGGAGGCGACGTTGAATCACGGCTAGAAGGGGAGCGGGTACCATGCCCTCTAGCAGGTGAGCCTAGTGGGAGCACGGCCACCCTGGTGGCTTCCTAGCAAAGTCTGTGTTTCTTTGTCTGTTTGTTGAGGGACTATCCACAAATTCCCATGAAGCTCTCAGAAATCTGAGACAGATCATGCAACTAAAATACTGTAGCTGGCAAAAAGTCTTTTTGTTTTTCTCATCCCTTATACAGGTTTGGCGGGTTTAACTTTGCTCTCATTCGAGTCAGTGAGATTTTCTGACGTGGGAGCAGTTTTGAATTTATATTTGTAATTGAGGAGGCGTTGGGATGCTCTCAGGCCGCTGGATTGGATGAAAGAGTAGGGGCTGAGTTCCACAATGTGATAAACACTCTTTGCTCTCTGAAGTGGAAGGGAGCTGATACATGGGAATAGGTGATAATTAGGAACCAAACACCTCTGCGATTTCCTGACTCAGACTGTAATCAGGTTAGAATAAGATTAAAACCTAAGGGAGCAAGAATTGTACCTCTCCATCCCTTCACCCATTGTACAGAGACCCCATACAGCCAGGACCCACTGTGTCTGACAGCCATTTGGGGCTTTCTCTGCCTTAAGACTGCAGTGGTGTGAGCCAGACAAGACACACAAAGAAATCATCTCCTCCCCTTCTCTTTCCAGACCTGAGGGCACTGCAGTGATCTCATTTATCCCTGTGCTGCCAGCGTAATTTGCATTCTGCTCATTAGAGCCTTAATTGAATCTTCCATCATGAGCAGCATGCAGTGTGCAAGAGAGCGAGGAGAGAGATATCTGCAAGGGAGAAGGTAGGGCATGATCCAAAGCAAGCCAAAATCGATACGAGTTGTTGTCTTGGTGTCAGTCAAGATAACCTACTCTTCCCCCCTTCCTCCAGCCCCCCAGCTGGATTGGTGTCTTAGGAAAGGGCAGAATAGTGATCAAAGAGCAAACCTCTGCGGTTAGGATGAGAAGCAATGAGCTTAAATTGCAGCAAGGGAGGTTTAGGTTTGACATTAGAAAAAACTTCCTGTCAGGGTGGTTAAGCACTGGAATAAATTACCTAGGGAGGTTGTGGAAACTCTATCTCTGGAGATATTTAAGAGCACATTAGATAGACATATGTTAGGGATGATCTAGATCCATGGAGTCCAACCAGTTCTGAAGCAGTAATCACCATAGTTGGCCAGTTGAGTGTATTGAACTAGCCACACTCAACCGACTAAATAGCCACATTGTTCAAGCCAACTAGTCACACTCAATTGGCCAAATAGCCACATGTGGCTAGTGGCTAGCATGTTGGACACCATGGATTTAGATGGTGTTTGGTCCTGCCATGAGGGCAGGGGATTGGACTTGATGACCTCTTGAAGTTCCTTCCACTTCTAGTATTCTGTAATTCTATGAAATCTCACTTATTTGAGTTTTTTGTATGGAGTCCTGAGAAGTTCAAGTCCTGGAGCAGGACCTCACAGTACTATGTGCTGTACAGGATGGTCCCAACATTCTTTTTCATTATAATTATTTATTTTAGAGTAGAACCCAAAGTCTCCAGTTGGGGGATCTATCAACTTAGGCACTTTTATAGCTCACAGACATTAAATACATTTAGTCTTCAGAAAAAGTACCTGGACACATTTTTTTTTTGCCAGTGTTTTAAACTGATTTATTTTTTATATTGACAACATATAATATTATAAATAAGAAAGAAATTACAAAAACCACTTTTGCAATTTTCATCCTATTTCTTACCTACCTGAATAAATAGTAGTAATGCTTTCCTTTCACTTTTGCGGGTGAGTGACAGTCATTTGTGGTTACTGATTTACACTAATTAAAATCTTCTCTTTCCAAAAACAAGGGCCTGATTCTCGTTTGTGGTAAGGTCCTAACTGTACCATTTTGTTCAGAAATGAAGAAGGCCCCATTTACTCATCTTGTCCCTAAGGGAACTCATGGGAAAAGGGTTCCATATCAATATTTTTCTGTACCTCTAGAAGAGAATGAGTTTATTCTGTATGCCACGCGCTACTCTATCCACCGATACGATCTCTCTTCTGGAATCAGCGAGGAATTGCCTCTGACTGGATTACGAGGGGCAGTGGCTCTGGACTTTGATTATGACCACAACTGTTTGTACTGGGCAGATGTGACACTTGACATTATACAGGTGAGTGGGGTTCTGGGCAGTTTCCACTGAGCACATCTTCCTAGCAAAACGTATACCTTGTGTGATGTAACTAGGTGTAACTGCCCAGTGGATAGAGCAGTGGACTGGGATCCAGATGACTGAGCACCACTCCTGCCACTGGCCTGCTGGGTGACCTTACTTAAGTCGCTTCCCATGCCTCAGTTTCACCATCTGTAAAATGGAAATAACGATCCCGACCTGCTTTGTAGAGTGTTTTGAGATCTGTTGATAAGAAGCCCCATGTAAGAGCTAAGGATTCTTATTATTAATAAAAAACACAGCCATAGCCAGCATGGAGCTATGTCCGTGGAGGTACATTTTCCTGTCTTTGAGATCCTTTGCTCCAATGAATTTCGAACTAAAGCCCCATATCCTCCAGAGTAACTGTAGTCTGAATTAGGGGCTTTAGTTCGAACTATCTGTGTAGCCGCGGGCAGGGGGTTCGAACTACCGGGCATTTAAAAATGACGGCACCCGGGAACATGCAAATAAAGCCCGGGATATTTTAATCCCGGGCTTCATTTGCAAGTTCGAATGACTACATTAGCCCCCCTAGTTGGAACTGGGGTGGCTAGTGTAGACATACCCTTAGTCTTTAAGATGCTGCAGGACTCCTCGTTTTTGCAGATACAGACTAACATGGCTACCTCTCTTAGAAGGGCTAGTCTGGTCATCAATGTCCTTTCAGTTCTTAGGGCCAGATCCACTGCTGGTGTAATGACTTTACACTGATTTATACCGGTGGAGGCTCTGTCCCTGTATATCTTATTTGTAAAATAGCAGCTACTGAAAATTGTAATTGTAATGTTTGTTTTAAGCTATACTTCATTGTTTAAACCCCAGGCTTGGAATTTTCTGCTGAGGCACAGACCTTAAATTGAGTGTGTGGTATTCTTTTGGGTGAGACCGTGAAAGACATTACACAGGCTATGTCTAGACTGCAGGCTTCTTTCGAAAGAGGCTCTTTCGAAAGATCGCATCTAGACTGCAGGCGGATCTTTCGATAGAGGAAATCCGCTTTTTCGAAAGAGAGCACCCAGCGAGTCTGGATGCTCTCTTTCGAAGACGGCCTCTTTACATTGAAGAACGCCTTCTTTCGAAAGAGGAACTTTCGAAAGAAGGCGTTCTTCCTCGTGAAACGAGGTTTACCGCCATCGAAAGAAAAGCTGCGTTCTTTCGAAATAATTTCGAAAGAACGCGCCTTGAGTCTGGACGCAGGGGAAGTTTTTTCGGGAAAAGGCTACTTTTCCCGAAAAAACCCCTGAGTCTGGACACGGCCACAGTGATTTCACCTATCTCCTGCGGTGAATGGAAAGGAAGGATGCCACATGTCACAAGAGTATTTTCTCTATTAGCCAAACATTTCTCCCATTTCTTCTCCTTTCCTGGACATCTGTTTATCTCTTTGCTCCACTCAGTCTCAGAGAAGCTGTAATAGACAGGTTTGCAAAGTGCTTTGCCATGCCAATACGGCAGGTAGGCTTTTCTTCTTAGTGGTTCCTTTGCTAATTCCCCACCCTAAGCATCTGAATGCCCTAACCTGAAGATTTTGTGTTTGTTTGTTTCAGCGTCTTTGTCTAAAAGACAGCTCTGGACAAGAGATAATCATTAGCACTGGCCTAGAAACGGTGGAAGCGTTGGCCTTTGAACCTCTCAGTCAGTTGCTTTACTGGGTGAATGCGGGGATCCCAAAAATTGAGGTATGTCTGCAACTGATCTTCATGATAGCAGGTAACAGTAGCCATGTTGGTTTAGGTTTAGCAGGCCTTCAGTCTGCTGCACCATGTACAGCCATGAGTCCTCATTCTTGGAAGTGGCAACTGAATGCTGATTATCATGATCGGGGCAGTATTCTGGCTTATTGGGATTACTTGTGCATAAGGTAGAGTAGGGTTCAGCCGTTTGTATTTAAGATGGAAGCTCAGTGAATTACAAGGTGCATATGCCAAGGAATGCACTAAACCAGTGGTGGTCCACCTGCAACCTGAGGGCTGTATGAGGCGCACTGGGGTTCTGTGTGTGGTTCGCAAGACATTTTGTTTACTGTTGCCCACATGCAAGGTTGCCAGATTCTGCTAGCTTTCGTTCTTTTTTTTCCTATTATGGAAGTGAAGTGCATGCTGATTGCACACAACACAGACTGTGAGAGAGCTGTGTTTCCCTCTGCATCCAATCAAAGTGCTGCTACGGTTCATTTGGCACACCCCACAAATTCTAGGTACACAAGTGCAGTAAGCAAAACTACCCTATCCTGGGAGACCCTCTTGGTTATGACAATTTTGCAGCCCACTGAGATAGAGGGCCACTTATGTGGCCTGTTCACTAGCCTAGGTTGTTCCTCACTGCACTACACACTTGGCAATCATATAGGCACCAAAAGATACATAGCAAGGAAGCACAGTTGTACATCCTGCAAGGCCATCGTACAGCTCTAGTATGAGACTGCTCTGTTTGGTATTCGGTCTGCAAGCAGTCTACGTCCCTTGAGGATTTGCTGTGATGATGGTCAAAGAGGAGCTTACACTGTAAATCAGTTTGACACCTTCCAAATCCGTAAGACACTTTTAAGGCTGGCTGAACAGTACAAAAAAAGGATTCACATGCATGCTCATAATGAAATGTAGCAAGTTTGCTCCATGGTTGTTCACCAGTATTTGGACAACTATTGATTCCTTCAGGAAAACAACAGTGAATCGTGAAAGATGTATGAACATTATTACAAAAGCTATCCTTCCCAAATTTACATTACTCACTCTTCTTCATTATTGTAGTTAAAAGACTTAGTCATCCTGCCAGAAAGCAGAAACAGTATTGTACAGTTTATGGCTGGTGACAAATTCTAGACAACAAATCATTCAAATGAAGAATTTTGAGCAAAGCTCATAGACACAGATTTGCTTACCTACGCTGTTCTTCAACTATTTACCCAGTAACAAGCATATTCATCAAAATTAAGGGCAAGTTGTGAATGACTGGTGAACTGAAGGGATAAATTTGTCAAGCAATTCACTTGCAACAGGTTATTTGAGCTGCATTAAATGGAACAACTTTCTCTCTGTATTGTGAAGGGATAGAATTAGCTGCACATATTGTATTACAGCAGTAAGCACTTTTTTCAGCAGTGTGGAAATCACACAAGTAAATGAAGCTCATAACATTTTATCACTTGCCTTAAGATAACTGCTTGCCAAGTATGAATGCATTGAATTGCCACTTGCTATATGTTGTAATTAAATGCTGCAGAATTTCATTTAATTGTAAACAATGCAATTGCTTTTCATAAAAACAAAAAACACGCTCGTGTCTTGTGCACTAGGTTGCGAACCCAGATGGAGACTTGCGACTTACTGTTCTGAATGCTTCTATACTCGAACGACCCCGAGCCCTGACTTTGGTGCCTAAAGAAGGGTGAGTAGAAGCTATCTGTAAATTGTTGTGTTAATTTGTATTGTTAAAACCAACTAAGTGAATCCAGCACTTCTCATCAGTACTAAATTTATATAAGATAAAAGTAGTGAATTCCTCCATGTGCTCCTGTGGAAGCTGTTTTCCTCTGTTGCTTTCTCTCACCTGAAGGCCAGTTAGCTGGGCGTTAGTTTGACTGAGAGCAATTTTCCATTTCCCTCACAAATAATTTTCCCTTGATAATATCCTGCATAGCTCACTGGAGGCACAACTCCAGTCTCCTCAGTGGATGTAATTGTGCCAGTGTGTGAGAAGTTGACCTCTTTTAAAATGTGGGCCTGAAACTGTGGGCCTGCTGATCAGGTACTTTTTTGGTGGTTCATGTGGTTCAGGAGCCTTGATATTTCCTCTGCTGGGTGCATTCCCTTGAATTCAGTTGAGCTCCTGTTAAAAACATATACTCTTTCTGTGAAATGGATGGGATTTAAAGAGGGGGTTCAGAACTTGTGCTTATCTTCTGTTTTGTATGGACCTCTGTTTAGATGAGGCATTTCATTACTATTTTAAATTAACTCTGCCTATGGACATTATTAGGTTGATGTTCTGGACAGACTGGGGAGACTCTAGACCTGGCATTTACAGAAGTGATATGGATGGTTCATCAGCCAGTTGCATTGTCTCTGAGGGAGTGAGATGGCCAAATGGCATTTCTGTGGATGATCATTGGATCTATTGGACGGAAGCCTACATGGATAGAATTGAGAGAATTGATTTCAATGGGATGCAGAGATCTGTGATACTGGATAGTCTTCCTCATCCCTACGCTATTGCTGTATTTAAGGTATTTATATAGTGTGTGTAGATAAGTATAGTAGATATTGGGGCTCGGCCCAAAATGCCAGTTTTGGCTGGAACTGTGATAAATGCTGAGCTGTGTTGAACAGGGATGTTAAAAAGTGGATAAATGGGTAATCGTGTCACCACCGAAAATTGGTCACCTGTAGCATGAGGCAGCAGCCAGCTCCCTGGAAGCTGGTGCGCATTGTTAGGCTTTTAAGCCAGATTCCAGCATGTATTGGCTCCCACCTGCCATCCCGCTCCTGGGGAACCAGTTGCCGCCCCGCGCTGCTGCCTCTGCTACAGAGGGCGGGAGCCTGTGTGTAACCATTCACGGTAACAGATATGCCCGGGCTTATCAATTAACTGTGCAAATGGTTATCTTATTACATCCCTAGTGTTGAGTGGCCCCAAGCTCACCATGAACTTTGACCCAGTTGACCCAAAGATTTGCAGTCTTAACACACATGTGACTTTTGTCTCAGGTTGTGCACAGGTCAAATTTTAATTTTAAGGTCTAAATTTAATTGTGCACAGGTCTAATTGTTAACTTCTTTCCCTTGGGCTTAGGAAATATTCTGAAAAACCAGTTCTCCTGAGATTTATAGGGTTGAGAGCTGCAGTAATCTGGATAGTCCTTGATTAACATCTCTCAAATGTCTGTCCGCTTATCTGAACCTAGCTCCATATTTGTGCTTTACTAATTCTTGATAACATTTGTACTGCTGTGTCCATATAAGCAGACATGAGCATTTAGGGGCTGGAAATTAGAAGACATGGGTTCTTTTCCAAATCCTGCTGTTGACTCACTTTGTGTTTCTACTGTGAAAAACCACTGAATACATTCTACTTTCCCCATCTATGAAATGGGGGTAATGATGCCAACCCAGAGAAATATATAAGAACATAAGAACGGCCGTACTGGGTCAGACCAAAGGTCCATCTAGCCCAGTAGCCTGTCTGCCATTTTGTTGCCCAATCACTCTGTGTGGTGAGATCTTCTTGGAGTCCCTCACAGTCTGCTTGTACAAAGTAGTATTAGAGGTTTATGAAACCTTGCTGGCACAGGCAGAATCGATGCAAAAAATTACCCTCAATTTTAAGTTGAAACTGACTTTATGAAATTGGTCTTCTGCATTGGCTAGTTTGATGAAGAATCAGGATTAACTGTGAGTCCCTGATCTGTAAATCCTCCTTCAAATCCTGAATTGGGGAAAAAAATGTTCAGAGTTCATTATATTTACCTGTCTCCACCAAAGCTTGGACTAAGGAACTGAGTTTCTGTTTCAGAATGAAATCTATTGGAATGACTGGTCGCAGCTGAGTATTTTTAGAGCATCTAAATACAGTGGGTCAAGGATGGAGATTTTAGTTGGTCGATTAAATGGGATCATGGATATGAAAATCTTCTACCGAGGAAAGACAACAGGTAATGTGGAGCATTTGAAAAGACCTTTCCTAAGAAGACTATAGAGCAGGAGAGAGCAAAGGGGCTTCCGTGGGCCAGATCCAGCCCGCCAAGCGAATTGATCTGGCCTGTGGAGGCCCTGCCACTCTCCCTGCCCGTAGGCCAATCCTCCCATCCTGCAAGGAGTGCAGAGTGCTTCTAAGCGCCGCACACTGCTTTCAGGATGGGCCAGGGTGGGAGGAGACTTTGTGCGCTCTCCCCACCCCCAGGCCAATCTGGGCCTGGGGGCGGAGGGAGTGTGGGAAGTCTCCTCTCGCTCTGCAAGGGCTCAGCGCTTAAAGTCAGCTGCCAGCTGCTGCTCAGTTGGAGGTTGATTCTAAGCGTGGCGCTCCCTTGCAAGGTGGGGACAGGGTGGGAGGAGACTTTGCATGATTGATTTGGGGGCAGCAGGAGGGAGCACGCGAAGTCTCCTCCCACTGCCAGGGATACTGGGATCTAGAGGGAACAGCTGGTGGTTCTCTCTGGGGGGGACAAAGACTGCCCACTCCCTTACCCCAAGGTCTGTGGGTGGGGTAGCATAGAAGTGTCCTGGCCTGCCCCTTCTGCCAGAGGCCCCGCCCATTCCAGGGCAGACCGGAGTCACTTCAAAATTTCTGAAGTGGTCCCCAGTCAAAAATTATTGCCTACCCCTGCTATAGAACCATGGCGTTCAAGCAGTTCTTGAGAACTAGCCACACTCAACCAGCCAAATAGCCTCACGTGGCTAGTGGCTAGCATGTTGGACACCACGGCTATAGAGGTATGGGCTGAGACTTTCAAAAGCTAAGGAGGATGTTTGGCTGCTTAATTCCCCTTGAGTGGGATTTGGGAGTCTGTCTCTCTTAACTGCTTATTTGGCCCCATATGAGTATCTGAGTGCCTCACCGTCTGTAATGTCTTTTATCCCGAGAACACTCTGAGATCCCTGGGAAGTGCTATTCACCCATTTTACAAATGAAGAAGTAGGGCACAGACCTGGGGGGTTGGCAGTGCAGGGAACTGCACCCAGGTTTACAAAGCCTATGCTAATGCCTTAGTCATTAGGTGGTCCTTCCTCAATTTTTTATTGTTGTGTCCAAATACTTCCAAATTCCTTAGGAAAGTGGTTCTCAAATGTTTTGGCCTACGGTCCACATGGCTCTATGCAGATCTTTCCATGGACCACCAATTGTTAATGGAAACTCGCTGTTAATTACATAATTACATTTTGCTAGTGCTGCAGGTAGGTAGAACAGTTTAATTTAATCAGTAAGAAAAGAAATATTAATTTAAATTATTAAACAGATTAAGCATTTTAACTTTCTCATGTTAGTTTATCAAACATCATTATAAATAAAGTAAAATATTAATTTATGCCCAATGCAGTGGGTGGTGGGGAGGTAGTGGAGTGTTCTTGGTTGAGGCTGGAGTGGCCACCAGGGCACCCTGGGAAGGCTGGAGGTTCCCTATTTTGAAATAAGTGTCTACACAGCACTTATTTCGAAATAGCTATTTTGAATTTGGTGTTAGTCCTTGCAGAATGAGGTTTACCAAATTTGAAATAAGCGCTCCGCTAGTTCGAATTTATTTCAAAATAGCGGTTTGGCTGTGTAGACGCTAGGAAAGTTATTTCAAAATAACTTTGCTGTGTAGACAGACCCTAACAGATTTATTTGGGCGTAAGCTTTCATGGGTATAAATCTTTGTCAGATGCAAAATGTCTTGAAATTAAACAGTAGCATGAATATTTAGAATTCAGAGCATAGAGTTAATAAAACTGTGACTTAGATGCCTCCAAATGGCTTAGAATGAATTTAAAGTAGCATCTTAAAATGAGCCCACCTGAGCAGAAAGTCATTGACTCTAGTTTCCAGGAGGTGCTGTGGGCTCCATCTGATCCCTCTGAAACATGTATTTAAGCCTCAGCCTGATCTGAAGGAGGCTGGTAAGTGCCAATTAACTAGCTCTGAGGTCGTTATGTTTTCAGGGGCTCGTTAGCATGGAAGCTGCTAATGGGAAGCCCCTCCTTCCTCCCTGATTAATTAGTGTGATTTATTAGTGACTCTTTGGAAGGTAGTACTTTGTGGGGTTACCTTCAGACCAGTGTCCAGGATAGTGCTTCTCAACACTTTCCAAGTTGCTACACAAAAACGTTGGGAACTCTTTAGGGTGTTTTGTCTTCCCTCTCCAGCACGAGTCATAGAATCACAGGGTTAGAAAGGAGCATGGGTCACTTGCTGGAATCATCTGGATTTATTTCCTGCCATGCTAGGTCTTGGCCATTGGTGCATCTTAGTCCTTCCTTTTCTCTGTCTAGGCGCCTGTGGATTGTAATCCTTCGCTCTCATTTTGGTTGCGGAGTTTAGTGTGTTTGCAGCATGCAGTTCTAGTGGCTGGTGATATGCGGCAGGTTGGACTTCATGATTTGATGGTTCCTTCTGACCTTGGGCTCTAGGACTCTTCCTACCTAGCTCTTCAGAAAGGAGAGTGGTCCCAAGTGTTAGTTGGAACTTCCAAGCTTGATGTAGAGAGAGAGCACATTGCATTCTCAGTTTTGGCTTATTATTCATTATTATTTATTTGTACTGTAGGAGTGGCTAGAAGCCTCAGTTTTAGACCAAGACCCTGTTGTGCTGAGCACAGTATATACACAGAATAAAAATACATTTCTTCTCCCAAAGAGCATGGTTTGATTTCCCCATCTCAACTGAATTATAAGGAAGTGGGGGATCTGCACAGTGTATCCTGGTTACATATTAATCTCTAAAACACCTCTCGTTAAGATCCAAGGGCCTGATCCTGTGAGGCACTGAGTGTGCATTCAAGCCCCACAGAAGACAAATGGGAGTGGAAGACTCTTGGCATCTCCACAGCCCAGACTTGAAACGTAACCAAGTGCAGCTGACACACAAATGCCCAGAGAGACTGCATAGCAGCCTGAATTGAGAGGCTAACCCGAGATGTAGTGTCCGGTTCCCTGCTGTGTACGCAGCGCCCAGTCGTTACTTTGTTCCCTCCCCTCAGGGCGGAATGCCTGCATCACCAGGCCGTGCAGTTTGCTGTGTTTGCCCAAATCAAACAACAGCAGAAGCTGCAAGTGTCCCGAGGGAGTCTCCAGCAGTGTGCTCCCGTCAGGGGAAGTGAAGTGTGATTGTCCACACGGATACGTGATGAAGAACACCACCTGCATCAAAGAAGGTAAAATTCTGTTTAACTCCTGCTGCAATTTAACCCTGAAAAACAATCAGTTCCTTAGTTTGGAGCTAGATGAGCATGACTTTACTTTTTACCTACCTTATAAAGATTGGAAAGAGCTACAATCACTTGGCAAAGACCATGGTGCTGTGCCTAATTGTTGTTTGTTTGTTTGTTTTCTAACACACACTGCGCACTAGATAACACCTGTCTGCCTAACCAGTATAGATGCTTCAACGGGAACTGCATCAACAGCATCTGGCAGTGTGATAACGATAATGATTGTGGAGACATGAGTGATGAGAAAAACTGCCGTAAGTGTCCTTCTGTGGTCGCTGGGTATATGTGTCCTGGTCAGTGATTGTTTATTGAGCCTGGCTGGGGGTAAAATGCTTCAACAAGTGAAGGGATCAGTAATGACGACTATGGTCTTTCCACCCTTCCTACAAGCCTTTGTGGTGTGGGATATCCTCATAAAGCTAGTTCAGGTACATCCAAGGAGAACGCCACCTTCTGAATGAAAACAAAGAACCCAATGAGTTTATGAAGGGCAGAAACAGCCACCCGGCGAAGCCGTCACCAAGTTGTAGCTGTATGATTCAGCCCATTACCGAAATAGGCCACATTCAAAGTTACAGCCCCAATGTCAAGCAACTGAACAATAAGAGGGTAAAGTCCAGGCCAAACTGTCTTCCCGGCAATGCAGCTCCTTAGGTTCTTAACTGATGGCTGTGTAGACTCAAGGTCCCCTGTTAGGCCAAGGGAGTTGCAAAGCCAGATTCTGCATCTTTTCTTCTCTGCTGCGGGAGGGCGCTGTCTCCAGACCTGGTTTTGCAGCATGGAGCTGAGTTTAATCCCATCAGACCATTAAGCCCTTACTACCCTGAACCAGGAGGAATTCACCTAGCACGTAACAGACTCTGGCAGGAACCTCTCTGAGGTGGCTCTTTCCTGTCCTTGAATTCCGCTTACTTTTGTTTTAGCATGTGAGTTTGGGTGTGGGAGGAGTGATTTAACTGGTGGCCTTGAAACCTCTTTTCTCTCTCCCCTGCCTTGTTTTAGCCACAACAGTCTGTGATAGCGAGACTCAGTTCCGCTGCCAGGGCTCAGGAACCTGCATCCCGCTGTCCTATAAATGTGACCTCGATTTCCTGTCCTTGAATTCCGCTTACTTTTGTTTTAGCATGTGAGTTTGGGTGTGGGAGGAGTGATTTAACTGGTGGCCTTGAAACCTCTTTTCTCTCTCCCCTGCCTTGTTTTAGCCACAACAGTCTGTGATAGCGAGACTCAGTTCCGCTGCCAGGGCTCAGGAACCTGCATCCCGCTGTCCTATAAATGTGACCTCGAGGATGACTGTGGGGATAACAGTGATGAAAGCCACTGCGGTGAGTGTGATCAAGAGCGAGCTATTTGGCTCCGTTGAGTGTCCTTTCCTTTCCCCCTCCTAGGAAGAATAGCACTGTGTTGTCTCCACCAGGCAGGAGGTGAGCCTGCCTAGATGGAGGCAGGGCAACACAGTGTTTCTGCAGAGCACTGACAAGGACCCGTCCTCTGCACTGTCCAGGGCAGCCATTAGGCAGCTAGTACTGTCGTGGAGCAAGGGGGGAATGAGATGCACAGGACACGGGAGCACTTAAGTGCAAAGACAGCCCATGTCCCCTACACACCGGGCACCGTACCTTGAGCGGGCAGGGAAGCTCTGGTATCAGATGTTCCCAGTTCCCTTCCCCTGCCAAGCTCATCTGCCATAAAACAAAATAACGGGGCAGGGATTACAAATTATACTTCCGCAGCTTCCCAGGATTTGGTGTGTTTGGTCTCCAGGGTGAAAACATAGGTGCCCTGAGACACGGAGACAGGGTAGACAGCTCTAGGAGCTAGTACCTCGTAAAGCCATTGGGGTTACAAATGCAATTGCTGTGGCATTAGGTTCCCCATCATCCCCTTCCATCCAGTGGCTTCATACTTGTAAGAAATCCTTGGCCTTCTGCTGCACGTCTCAAGCTCAGTAATAGCAGGGTTAGGACTCAGTCTCCTGCATTAACAATCTAACCAAAAGGAGAGTTTCCATTCATTGTGTGCAGTTTAGAGTGCAGGATGGCACAGTGTTGAGCAGTTCCACCTCTATCCAGTAGAGGGTAGTAGGATAGGTACACACTAGCAAGTTCAGGGCAGTTTCCTAATTTCCCTAATCCCTTCTTTCAGTGCTATTCTGGCTTGATTTTGAAAGGCAGCTGAGCAGCTGCAGCTCCCAGCGTGTTGAATGGAGGGTGCAAGTGCTCTGCACTGTTGAATGTGAGGCTGTCAGCCTCTAAGGTTGATAGTTTCTAAGCGTCAGACTGTTAAATCCATGGGAAGAATGGAAGAGGCGATGTGGTAGCTCTTGATCTTTCAGGGCTAGAGATAATGCACTAAAATTGCTTTCAAGACTAGAAAACGTGTTCTGAGCTGCGTAGGTTGCCAGTTCTGAAATGTCAGCTCTTCCATCTAAGACAGCAGCTTGTGTTCAGTTGCTCCACCTGAACTTTCGGTGCCTTGTTTGTAGAAGCTCACCAATGTAGAAGTGATGAATTCAGCTGCAGGTCGGGGATGTGCATTCGTCTTTCTTGGATGTGTGATGGTGATAACGACTGCAGGGACTGGTCAGATGAAGCGAACTGCACTGGTAAGTACTGGAATGTAATTGAGAATCTTCTGCCGGACTTGCTCCTTGCTAGCTTATCAGCTGCTGTGTTTTTAAAGGGGTTGCATTAGGGTAGCTCTATGTGGAAGAGCATATGCTGCCAGGACGGTGTCGTTTAACTTTTCTGTGTCATGAGACTGACTCTTCCAATGCCCTTTTGTTACTGTATTTTGTGCGAGTGGCTAGTGCTGGGTAGTCCTGTTTGGCAGAGGTGTAGAAGTTAAGATGGAAACACTGCCGTGTCTAAAGGACTGAGCCAGTGCTGACTGATGTCAAGGGAAAGAAACCTGTGGGCTTTGGACTAGACCAGAGCTTCTCAGACTTCATTGCACTGCGACCCACTTCTGACAAAATGATTACCCAACCCCAGCAGTATTCTCTCTAATCTTTTCCATCCTTGAACAGATTTTTTTCCATCTGTGTACAAAATAAATGTTTTTCTGTGCACTGAGGCGTGTGCATGTGCACCACCAGTAGAAACACAAACCTAGCTGTGGGTGCTCTGCTCATCAGCTGGATGGCATTGGAATTGCTCCTGAGCAGCTGCACAAGCTCACAGCTTACAGAGAACACTGGACCCCAGTGCCCTCTAGATTCTAGAGTCTAGAATTAGGGCCAGTGCTAGGGGGAATGAGCAGGGCAGTTGCCCAGGACCTGAGGCCACAGGGGACCCTACAAAGTTAAGGTGCTTCAGCTTTGACTCAGCCCGGGAAGTCTAAGGCCAGGCCTGGTGACCCCATTCAAACGAACTCGTGACCTATTTTGGGGCCATGACCCACAGTTTGAAAACAACTAGACTAGATCCTAATGTAGCAACAACATGAGCTAGTGGATTGAGCATAGAGCCAGAACCAATTTCTAATCCCAGTGCTGACAGTAACTTGCCACGAGACGTGGGCTGAGTGGTTTAACTTCTATACTTCATTTTCCACATCTGTAAAAATGGGATAATAGTCACCCGCCTTGAAAGGGTTTCTAAAGATGAGTAAGTTAATTTGACTTCAAAATAAGCTGCATTTACGTATTTATTCTAGCATGAATGAAGAATGCAGAGAGAACCTTTGCTCTGAATCATCTTTCTTCTTAGCTTAAGTATCTACTCTACCCTTACAATATTCTCCTGTATTTAAAACATTCCCCAGGTTATTTGGCAGACAGAAAACGTTGATCAGTCTCCCTTTTTCATCTCCTTCATATTTATTGGCAAATTATGTTTTATTGTATGTAAATGAAACACTGTCTAAAATTCAAATTGGGATAGCAGCCCAATGCTTATGAGTGACCCTACAGTAATAAAAACAATTTCAGGGGAACAAATTTTTGGTTTAACTTTCTGTGGGTTTATAAATAGTGAGGGGGTCACATGATCTTTGAAATGATTAAAACTAAAAACCTCTCACCAGCAAATGCCCCACAAACATGTTGCTAGATGTCCTGTTATTCACAGGTGCTGAACAAGCCTGTCAGCTGTGGGTGACCCAGCATGTACAAATCAGGCCAAAAAAATAGTAAGATCATATTCCTGAGCGAATAAGCTAATTTACAGTCTTGATTTAGCAGCTTAATTGCTGCATTTCTGAAAGTGCTGACTGGTTTTTGATGTGCGCAGTGATTCATTTTTGGTTTTATTTGTAACTTTGCACCGATGGCATCAAATCACCATTGAGCTCATTCATCTGTAGTGCTGTTTACATCTGACAGTGCTTCAAAACCTGCTTTAAAAATTTATTACCACCTGGTCTGCTATAAAAACAGGCTTGCCCTGCCCTTGAGGAGCTGTAAAGTTAGGAGGCATATTTGTAACCATTGTAACCAAAGGTGCTCAGTGGTTACAACAGAATAGACCGAAAATAGTCTGAGTGTGCACTGACCGAATTTTACAGCTTGGACTTTGCTCATTGTGTCACAATAAAACACACTGCAGAAAAGAAGGTGGGTTTTTTTGTTTGTTTTTTGCAATTTCTGAACTATTTATCTAAGAGAAGGGGCACTCTGCTCCAATAGTTCCTGTCTTCAGCGTGGCTTTGCCTCTTTACCTACCCTTCCAGTGTGGCTTGGTGAGCTATAAACTGGATTCAATTTATCCAAAGTCATGAACAAAGAGCCTGATTCCCCTTTCACTGACAACTGATTTACACCAGTGAAACTCAGCTGGAGAAAATGGAGTCACTCTGGACTGACATTGTACACAGTGTCAGTCATCAGGCCTTGAGTTACTGGACCCGTTTCTTCAGTGATGGCAGCAGAGTTTACATTAATGGAAAACAGATGTAAGTGAGAAGAGTCCTAAGGACATTCTAAAATT